TCTTGAACAAACCTATGGAAGACTACACCCAATAACCACAGAATACATATATGTTTCAAGTCATGTAGTGTTCACTAGGATAGGTCACATGCTAGATTATAAAACAACACTCAATAGATTAAATCAAATTGAATTCATGCAGTGTATGTTACCTGACCACAATAGGATTAAAACAGAAATTAACAATAAGAGAACTAGGAAAGCTCCAAGTACTTGGAGATTAAATATAATCCACAATCCCAAGAAGAAATCAAAAGGTAGAATAGAAAATATTTATTCCAAGGGATAATCAAAATAAAACATGTCAACATTTATGAATTACAGCTATGGGAGTTCCCAGAGGGAAGTATAGCTGTACATGCTTATACTGCAGTAGAAAAAAAAGGGGAAGGTCTAAAATCAATGACATAAAGCTTCACCTAAAGAAGATTGAAAACACACACACACACACACACAGAGCAAAGAAAACTCCAAGGAAGTAGTAAGAAGGAAGCAATAAAGATAAAAGTGCAGAGATACACCAAATTGAAGACAGACAAAATTATAGAGAAAACTAATAAAGCAAAGAAGCTGGCCATTTTAAAATATCAACACTAATAAACCTTGAGCTATTCTGATCATGAAAAAAAAGAGAGGAAACACAAATGGTCAGTATCAATATCAGAAGTGAAAGAGAAGTGAAATTATCACTGCGGATCCTGCAGACATGAAAAGAATAATAAGAGACTATCATAAACAATGTCATGGTGACAAATTCTGCAACTTAGATGAAATGAACAAATTCTTTGAAAAATACAATAAAAACTGACATACATTTTGCAGAAAAAGTGCCTAGAAAAATTAAAAGATACATTAAGCAAATGAGTATGCAAGCCACAGCCTGACAGAAAATGTTCATAAATCTATTTTCAGACAAAAGCCTGATTTCCAGAATATATAAAGCAGTTTTATAACCTGGAAATAAAAAAGCTGGGCACAGTGGCTCACACCTGTAATGCTAGCACTTTGGGAGGCCAAGGAGGGTGAATCGCTTAAGCCCAGGAGTTTGAGACCAGTCTGGGCAACATGGTGAGACCCCGACACTAGTATAAATACAAAAAAAATTAGACTTGTATGGTGGCTATTAAAAATACAAAAAGTTAGCCTGGTATCAGCTAATTGTGAGACTGAGGTGGGAGGATCGCTTAAGCCCAGGAAGCAGAGGCTGTAGTGAGCCAAGATTGCACAATTGCATTCCAGCCTGGATGACAGAGCAACTAAAAAAAAAAAATAATAATAACAAACACCCTTTAGAAGGGGAAAATATTTGAGGAGCCACTTTGCAAAGATAATATACAAGTGGGACAAAATGCTTCATACCAAGAAGCATCAAGGAAATGCAAATTAAAACCACAGTGAGATACCACTACACACCCCACAAAATGACTAAGTTTGGAAAGACTGCCAAATGTTGGCAAGAATACAGCACAAGTATAACTATTGCTAATGGGACTATAAAATAGTACAACTACTTTGTCAAATTTCCGGAATTTTCTTATAGAATGAATATACATCTCATCTATAATAGATTTCTGATTTAGGAATTTACCCCAATTAGTGAAAATACATGTTAATAAAAATACTTATAGAAGAACACAATAGCTTTATTCATAATAATCAAAAGTTGGAAATACTCCTGGTGACCACAAATAGATCAGGTAGCAAACTATGTTAATTCATAGCATAAAATACTACTCAGCAATAAAAATGAAAGAGTTACTGATATGTGTAACCTGATTGATAAATATAAAAATCATTTTGTGGACTGAAGGAAGCCTTATATATAAGGTTATCACAATATGATTCAATTTATGTGGAATATCTAAAGTTGGCAAACAGTCTACAATGGAAAAAATCCAAGGGTACAGAGCTGGAGACTGAGACAGGTCATGAGGAAACTTTCTGGGATTGTATTAGTCTGTTTTCCCACTGCTGATAAAGACATACCTGATACTGGGCACTTTATTAAAAAAAAGGTTTAATGGACTCGCAGTTGCACCTGGCTGGGGAGGCCTCATAATCAAGGCAGAAAGTAAAATGGACATCTTACATGGTGGCAGACAGAGAAATGAGAAACAAGCAAAAGGGCTTTCCTCTTATAAAACCATCAGCTCTTGTGAGACTTATTCACTATCACAAGAATGTATGGGGGAAACTGACACCATGATTTAATTCTCTCCCACCAGGTCCCTCCCACAACACGTGGGAATTCTGGGAGCTACAATTCTAGAAGAGATTTTGGTCAGGACACAGCCAAACCATATCAGGGATTATAGTAATGTTCTTTTTTTGATAGAGTTTTGGGTTACACATATGTATACTTTTGTCAAAATTCGGTAAATACATACTTAAAATTTTTGCATTTCATCATTTGTAAACTTTACACCAAAAGGAAAAAAAGATACCAAATTCTAGTTAATGCGCACGGAGTTTACTGATGTCTGCAATTTACTTTAAAATGCCTAAAAACTAAGATGGATTAGTGGATGGATAGAAAGATGGATCTATGGATAGATATGAGATAAAACAAGACTCTAAGTTGGTGAAGATACAGTTAAAGTGTTCACTGTAAAGTTTTTTCAACTTTGCTCTACGTTCATAAATGTTTATAATAAAATATCAACCAATACCGTTTTCATCCCTCCTCCTCTGTGACAGCCTCAGCCTGAGAAACCCACAGTGGGAAGGGAAACAAGGGCAGTGTGTTTGGTTATGACCATCCATCCTCACTCCTTAGCAGTGGTTTCTGGTTCTTCTAGGGTTGGCTAGGGGCAGGGAGAAAGGAGAGAAAGAGGAACAGATAGGGCCTTATTGAATAGTTCAGTTGTATTATGGTGTCACATTTTAGGAGCAGGCATGCAGTTTTTGGCCCTTTCTCATGGGTTCCTGAGAAATTCTCCTGGTAGGGATCTCTGACAGCAGTTCACTACCTCTGGTAATACATTTTCTGTGAAGCCACTAAGAGCCCTCCTACCACCTGCCTCTGGGGGTCCCGGGCAGCCTCTTCCTCACCCCTGGCAGGAAGCTTTTCAGGGCAGAGTCTTCCTTAAAATCAATGGTTTTCTCTGTTATGGAATTCCTATTTGGCCCATAGAAAACACGCATACACCTTTCTTTGGCTTAACTTGAAGTACGGCCAATTCCAGCTCCAATCTTTATCACTTCTGTCTGCCCCATTATTCCAACTTGGCCACAGCCTTTTGCCTTTGGATTTTATTCAGATGGGATAGCAGTTCCCGAGTTCTCCAGCCTTCAGGGACGTGAGCTAATCAGTTTGAATGGTTAATTAGAAGTTCCTGTTCAGGCAGCTCATTAGCTTTAAAATGAAGCAGAAGCATTTTCCCATCCATGAGAATTGGGTGAGGAGGGAGTTTATACAGCACACAACACTTTCAAAAGTCTTCAGTGTAATTAAAAAAAAAAAAAAGCCCAGCGTGGTGGCTCACATCTGTAATCCCAGTACTTTGGGCGGCTCAGGTAGGCAGATCATATGGTCATAAGGTCAGGCTTTGGAGACTAGCCTGGCAAACATGGGGAAACCCTGTCTCTACTAAAAATTCAAAAATTAGCCGGGTGTAGTGGTGGGCCCATGTAATCTCAGCTACTCAGGAGGCTGAGGCAGGAAAATCACTTCAACCTGAGAGGCAGAAGTTGTAGTGAGCCGAGATCATGCCACTGCACTCCAGCCTGGGTGACAGAGCAAGACTCTGTCTTAAAAGAGAGAATTTTTAGTCCTGTCCTATAAAGGTAAGAGGTAGATAATAATCTATTCTGGCAAAACTGGTTCTTGCCCACACACTTTGCAAAGTCTAGAATTTGATTGTAAATGAGAGGATTCTTGACAACTACTGTTTGGTGCTTGATCTTTGACTCCAATGCCAAACTTGGAGAAGACAGCATGTTTCCACTGTTCTGAAAACAGTAGCTAATCTGTGCTTCCCTTTGCTGTCTCGAGTATAGTAAAACATTTATGAGGTACAGAGGCTTGCAGAAAAGTATTTTAGAAGTGGAGTCAGAACTCTACTGTGGAAAGGGGGCTGAGAGAATCATGAATCCTATTCCTTCTCTTCCCAGAGGAGACTCAGAGTTGTGATGTGGTTTCTCTGGGTAAACATGAGTAAGTAACAGAAGAGATCAGTAAAACTCTGGTTCGCTGCTCAGAAATTAGTGTTTTGTGACCTCCCCTCTGCCCGAGAAATAAGCATGAAGACAGCGCTTTTCATCCCATTTTTTTTTTAAAACTCAGATGAGCAGGTGTTCATTTGCTCCACGTGGTGGGCTTTTGAACTGAGAGGGGCTGAGCACGGAGAAGCCAGAGTAGCACTGCCCCCACCCCAGGCCACCTGAAACTGATCATGCTGCTTTCTTTGGATTGGCTGCCCGTTTAAAAGAAGACTTAAGGGGTTTTATTTGGCTCTGTGATTCTGCTGGAAGGAGGCCTGAGTAAGGTCGCGCTCAGGTTGCAGAAGGAAGGGGCCGTTTGTCCTACAACCTGAAAAAAACAGAACTATGATGAAGCAGCATTGTTCATCTGAGGTAATACCCGAGGTACGTTGCCTCATTTCAAGGAAATTAAGGACGTGAATACACATGGAGTGAGGTTAAGAATGGAGGTTTGACAGGCAAAAGGAGAAAAGAGAACATCTCTCTCTCCTGCAGAGAGAGAGTGGCTTCTGCGTATGTTTTCTGGTTTTGTGGTGAACTGCATGGCGTTTTATAGACTTGCTTGACGAGGTGTTGTCTGATTTACGTAGGGTTTAAATATGGGTTGGACCAGGTGAGATGTTTACATAGCTTGTGAAGAAGCTGGCCACCCACCCTAATCTTCTTATGCATATAGGTTTTCTACTTTGCCAATGCATGTTGTCTGTTTCTTACTGTAATTGTGGTTGATAAAGAAAAAGGAAAATGGAGCCGTCAGGTTGAGCATGCCTGGCGCCCAGGTAGCCAGCAATCAAAGGGAATTCTTCACAGCTTAGCTTTGCCTGGTTGAAGCTGAAGATTTTGTAACTTCATAGCCAGACCCATGTTGCCAGTGATTTTCAATTTGCCTTGAAGGAAGGCCGACTGATGATTCATTCTACCAGTCATTAAAGCCAGTAAGTCTGAATCAGCCATTGTGATTGTGCAGTCAGCCTTTTTATCTGAGTTGGGAAGCACTGATCCTTTGTCATTCTTCACATCCACCATTAAGATGGCCTCTTTACCCCCAGGGCCATCTTTCACCTTGAAGGCAAAAATACCACCTATTTTTTTCACAAACTGTTCCCTTTCCTCTTCAAGTTTCTTCTCAATCTCCTTAAACACAAGATTTGCCTTAAATCCATCACTTGCAGAACTGGTTGGAGCAGCTTCAATCTGATGGGTTCTAAAAGAACTGGCGGCTTCGGGAAAACCCATCTTGTAGAGTGTTACCAAATACTGTTTTTTAAAAAACTTTTCTGAAAACATAGGGGAGCTTTTAACCCACATGATTATCTCAATGAATGCAAAAAAAGCTTTTGATAAAATTCAACTTTCATTTGTGTTAAACACTCTCAATAAACTAGGTATTGAAGGAACATACCTCAAAATAATAAGAGCCACATGTGACAAACCCACAGCCAGCATCATACTGAATGGACAAAAGCTGGAAGCATTCCCCTTAAAAACTGGCAGAAGACAAAGATGCCCTCTCTCCCTGCTCCCATTCAGCATAGCTTTGAGGGTGTTCTTTGCTCTTGGATTTCTAGTTTTTTTAATTGTGATGTTGTGTAGTTAACTTGAGATTCAATTTTTTTTTTTTTTTGAGATGGAGTGTTGTTCTCTCAACCAGGCTGGAGTGCAGTGGTGTGATATCGGCTCACTGCAACCTTTATCTCCTGGGTTCAAGCAGTTCTCCTGCCTCAGCCTCCTGAGTACCTGGGATTACAGGTATGTGCCACAACACCAGCTAATTTTTTTATTTTTAGTAGAATGGGGTTTCACCATGTTGGTCAGGCTGGTCTCAAACTCCTGATCTTGTAATCTTCCCGCCTTGGCCTCCAAAAGTGCTGGGATTACAAGAGTGAGTCACCGCAGCTGTTCCGAGTTCTCACTTCTTGATGTGAGCATTTGGTACTATAAATTTCTCTCAACACTACTTGACTAGCTGCATCCCAGAAACTCTGGTAAGTTGTATCTTTGTCCCATTAGTTTCAAAGAACTTCTTAAACCTCTTGATTTTTGCCTTAATGTCATTATTTACCCAGGAGTCATTCCAGAGCAAGTTTTTCAGTTTCCATGTAAGTGTATGGTTTTGAATGAGTTTCTTAGTCCTGATTTCAAATGTGATTGCATTTGCTTTGTGACCTAAGGTATCTTCTATACTTATGAATGATCGATGTGTTGAGTTGAAGAATGTGTATTCTGCAGTCATTGGATGAAATGTTCCTTGAATATCAGTTCCATTTGGTCTGTAGTACAGATTAAATTTAATGTTGGTTGGTTGGTTTTCTGTCTGGAAGATCTGTCCAGTGCTGAAAGTTGGGTGTTGAAGTCTCCAGCAATTACTGTGTTAGGGTTTATCTCTCTCTCTTTTATTTGCTGCATGTGTCTGTTCTTCCGCTCTCTCTCTGTCTGTCTCTATTTCTATTTTCAGAATTCTGATCATTTTAGTGTTGAACCTGTTTCAATTTTCTTCCGGATTTCAACTTTTTTCTTGTAGCTATTTCTGGAGGACATAAGGGTCATCTACTCAATTTTGTTTTCTTACCATTATAACAAGAATTTTTAACAAGTTTTGCCATCATATTTTCAATTTCTAAGTGTTTTCTTTTTCTTTAAATTTGGTTCTTGTTTCATGAGAATGGTAACACTTATCTCTTTGAGAACATTCACATGGGTTTCAGAAGGTCTTATCTCCTAGCACAGTCCTTTTCATTCAGGCTGCTTTTATGTGTCTTCTTGCTCTGGTCTCTGCCATTCATGTTAGAAGCTTTGCTCAGGTGCCTGGTGACCCTTAGCTGTCTGTGTCTGTTAAAAAAAAATGGAGCACTGAAAAGCTAAAAGCTGATGGAAGTTCTGTGATTGTAACATTTTGTGGGCGGTGGTCTTGCTGAGTCAGACCTTTTTTTCTTGGAGAAATTCTCTAAAGAGATTCTCTTTAGAGAAAAATCATCTTACCTTCTGACCAAGTATCTGCCACCCTTATTGGAACTAAGTGGTAGGAAAACCTGGATGATCTCAGTGTTCAGTGTGTACACTTAAGCACTTGTGTCTAGAGAGCTCCTGCCTAGAGACACCAAATTTTACCCTATAGAGAGGAAACCTCCAGCCTGCCACCACAGTGGGATGCAGTCACCCAGTCTAGGGAGATGATCTGGGATCTACCTACTACTGAAACATAAATTCCCTAGGTAAGTTATGCTGCCAACTCTTGAACTCTTGGGGATCCTTGCTGCTGGCTTGGGATTTAGCATCCCTGGGTGTACTGTCAGGTGCCACTGATGGCTTCTGCTTGCCAGTTTCCTATATGCTGAAGGTATTGTCTTTATTTTCTTTTTATCTTTGTTGGTTTATTTTTAATCATCTTGTGTTAATGTGGTTTAATGATGGAGTGAAGGTATATGCATTTATTCAACTAAACATCTTAGCTGAAGTCTGTGTATTTCTCTTACAGTAAAACCCTATTCCATGTTTCAGTTAATCATATTTTTATATATGCATTTTGATTTGGGGTTGATGTGACGGAAGAGAGAGAAAAAGAAAGAGAGACCGAGATAGAGACAGAGTGAGAGAGAGAGGATACTGTGACAAATCTGTGGGTCTGTGTACTTGGAAGTCAATAGGAACTTAGCCCTGTTTTCTGTCTAAAAAGCAGGAATGTCCAGACAATGGATCCTGAACTAGTCTAAGAATCTTTGAGGCAATGGGGCAGATCCAGTTGTGTTCAATTTTTAGTCCTTAGGCTGAAAGGGAAAATAACGTAAAACACATTTAAAAAAAATTTCTGGTTCGGTGCGGTGGCTCAAGCCTGTAATCCCAGCACTTTGGGAGGCTGAGGTGGGTGGATCACAAGATCAGGAGATCGAGACCATCCTGGTCAACATGGTGAAACCCCGTCTCTGCTAAAAATACAAAAAATTAGCTGGGCATGGTGGCGCGTGCCTGTAATCCCAGCTACTCAGGAGGCTGAGGCGGGAGAATTGCCTGAACCCAGGAGGCAGAGGTTGCGGTGAGCCGAGATTGCACCATTGCACTCCAGCTTGGGTAAGAAGTGCGAAACTCCGTCTCAAAAAAAAAAAAGAAAAAAAAAATTCTCGAAAGTGGTGTTTTCTGATTTGCCCTCAGATAATTAGATGTGGAAGGTAGCCATACATCTTTGGCTAACTCAGCATTTGTTGCTACATTCAGTGAATTCGTCTTTATATTCATGTCCTTTATCTCCAGCTTAATATCCAAAATTTAAAAGTGAGGAATGCAGAATGGTTGAACTAAAAGAAACAGATCACCCACAGTTTGCCTCCTCTTCCTCCCACCCAAAGACAACCATTGTTAACATTTTGCTATATTCTCTTCATGTACTTTTTTTCCATGCACCTTTATTCAAATATGTTTTTGATCATAAAATTGTCTTAGACCATGAATAAGTTGTCAGAGAAGAACACCCACTCTCCTCACACTCCAGGCTCCCAGCTTGAAGGTGACTTCCTTGGGAATCCTGTATCTTAACAAGATATGATGTTGATATGATATCTTTTATTTGACTATTATGAGGTGTTCTCTCCTTAGCACTCTCCTACATTTCCTTCTTCCCTTGCTATACACACAAACACACACATATGCACACACACATTCTCAAATGCACATACACACATGCACATGCATGCACACACACTCATATGAACACACATGCACATACACACTCTCCTTCATCTCCTTTTTCCCTGCTACACACACATACTCTCACACTCATATGCACAGACACACATGCCCATGTGCACACACACACATGTACAACATGCAATGTGTCAGAGAAGGCCATGTAGAAAACGATTGTTACTCTCTAAAGGGAAGGACACCCACACTTTTACAATGGACAAAAACAGCTCTGTTTTTGTAAAAAATGAATTTTCTATTAGGCCTAGAAAGAAACTTAAAAAGTCTTTCTTCTTTTATCCAATTGGAACTTGTGTTGTGCACACACTTGTGTGACAGAAAGAGCCAGGGAGAGAGAGAGGGAGAGGAGGGGGAGGCAAGAAGAGAGAGAGCGATTAAAGGGCAAGTGCACTGTGGCAAGCTCGTCTGGACTAAGTGAGGAGCAGGCAGCTGTGGTGCTGAGATAGGAGCTTGGAATGCTACATGGTACCAAGACTGTCGTAAGTGGCTCCTGTGTCTGAAAAAACGACAGCAGAATTCAGCGTTCCTCTGACAACCACTCAGAAAATAGAATGTGAAGAAGCAGGAGGAAGGGAAGATGTGGGGCCAGCCATGATAATGCACCCCGCTGCTCCATGATGCCTAGAAATGCTGGTCACTTATAGGGCACAGGTGAGGGGAAGTCTGGACAGGTGGGCAGTAATGCTGCCAAGCCATGTAGCCTGCTCTCTCAAGGGTGAATGTTCTTGCATAAGTAGTGAGGAAGATTGTTCCCTAGTTTATATAGGCCCCCTTTGTCCTAGACACAGATTTTAATTTTCCCAGGTGATCACTTGCTTGATTGTATGTGTAAAAGATCAGCAATCTTTTTTTTTTCTGGAAAGGTCTAGGTAGTAAATATTTTAGGCTTGGCAACCCATATGGTCTCTGTCACAGCTAATCATCTCTGCGGTTGTGGTGTGAATGCAGCCATAGAAATAGGTAATACCGGAGTGGGGCTGAGTCCCAAAGTACTTTTATGAGCACTGAAAATTGCATTTTATATAAATTTTTACATATCCCAAAATATTATTACTCTTCTGAATTCTTTCAGCCATTTTAAAAGGTCGAAACCATTCGTGGCTCATGAGTTGTATGATAAGAGACCACAGGCAGGAATTGGTGGATGGGCCATGGTTGCCCAAACCGTGTGTCCAAATCATGGCATTGTGCAGGCAGAAGGGATCTCTAAGCCTCTCTTTTTTTCTCTTTCCTTCTCTTCAGTTTCTCATTGGGCTGATTTGGAAACCAGAATTCGAAAGCTCAGGGAAGTGAACCATTTCTGATTTAACCTGTTACTGGCAGTGTTAGGATAAAATCCCAGGTCTCAAGGAGCGCTTCTTACAGTCCAGACCAAGACTGAAGGCTGCTTTTGTGATTGCAGAAGGCATACCATCCTCTGGTACACTAGCTTTTTAGGGTCACCCTGAATCTGAAACTTAGTTCTTTGCAAAGTCTTTTGTTCTATGATTCTTCAGTGCATCATTTGCTAATTTGTGCCATTTACTCTGTTTAACACAAGTGAGATACAGACA